AACTCAGGTATCCAAGATCACGAACTCCATTGAATAGACTTCTAAAGTATCATAATCAAAATATCCAAGGTTCCATAAGAAGACCTAGGAACCAACTAAATACCCTTTTCCTACAGCACACACATATATACATGCCAAATCTTTTCAGGAAAAACGGTAGAAGAATTCGGCTAGTATTTTCACAATATCTACATCCAATCAAATGCAAATAAACTTTCAAATAAATAAGAGAGCTTAGGAAGTGAACCTCCTGAGATTCGCCGTGAGGCAAGGAGAACTACGATCACAGAGCAAATGAAACAGTCTTCGACAGAGATAAAGAAACTCCAAACCCATTACACATTGTCTCTGCAACAACAACAAAAAAGTGAAAAACAAAAACCCTAAATTTGAATTGCCCCATCTTTAACCACCAGATAATCCACACGAAAATCCAATCAAACATTGCAATACAAAATTAAGATTGACCACAACACACGAACAATGCCAACAACAGCTCCTTCAGGTAACATAACTTAAAACAAAAAATCCCCTTAAAAACAAAGAAAAAACAAAAATTTGTCGTACCTCGAAGTATTCTCTGCTCGATTAAAGCGGCAGTTAGACAGTCGATGAAACCTTCAGCTTCGTTTGAATTTCGAAGGATGAAGAAGAGTCAGATTGATGGGAGGAAAGAATCCAGATGCCGAGAAAGTCAATTAGGTTTTGCAGATTATAAGAAGAGAAAGGATCAAAATCAAGGAAGCAGAAACTTTCAATCTTGTGAAGCTCTACTACTTATTCGGTTATTAGTGTGTGTGTTGTTGGGCAAACCAAAATTGGGCAGAAGGCGAAGGATTTTTTTTGTGGAGAAACGCACTGGATAGAAAGAGAAGGGAGAAACAGAACACAAAAAAACGAACTAGATCCTTAAACGCTGCGTTTTACTGATTTTTTACATAGCCTTTTAAAGATTTAAGGGAATGGGTCCAGTTCGGTCACGTGACAGGGCCCATAAACAAAAGTCTTTATTATTTATATTTTTTTTACTTCAGTTAGTTAATTAAAAGTGGCTGTAGTTTAGTGGTGAGAATTCCACGTTGTGGCCGTGGAGACCTGGGCTCGAATCCCAGCAGCCACATTCTTTTTATATTTTCCGAGAATTATTTGTACCATTATAAAGAGGCCGAGCTTAAAATTGTCTCTAGGCCCATGGGTTTTTTTGTGAACCTTTTAATCTTCCATGAAGATAATGTAACATGGTCTACTTACGTTTGTTATTGAACCCTTTGCGAATTTTATTACTTTCTTCTGTTCGTTTTTTTTTCATTTTTGCAGTCACCGATCAGAAGTTAATTGACTACATATGAAAAAAACGAGAGACCACATATACATAACAAACCATACAATAACGTAACATATAATGCATATATAGCAAGAAAACCATCTGCTTAAGTCTAAGTCACATCATTTCGTTTATGGAGCTTCACATCTCAAAAATTGCTTTGAATGATGGTTAGTAGACTAAGCGAAATTAGCCTAAGGTTTGTCCATCCGTCCTTGAAATTCTTAAGTTTGTTAGATTAATAGCTTGAAGTAGTGATGATGAAAAATGTTTAAACCTTTAAAACTTGAAGTAGTGTATTTTATTACTTTCTCTGCAGTTTTCATTTTATCACAAATCTTCACATATTTTCTCGGTCTTAGTTCTCTTTCTTTTCTTCTTCTGATATCTATCAATTTGCTGACCAAAAAGATATCTATCCATTTAAAAAAAAAAGGTTTGAGGCATATATTCTTGATTGAGTGGAACAACTTAGGAATACATATTATAGTAGTATATAGCTCGCCTAACTAAATTTGAGCGATGTGCACGATGACATCACATTCTCATTTATCTATTTATGGAGTTGATGATGTAGTTTGCATCCTTATGATGGTACAGTGGCTGTGAAAACGAAAAAGAAAAATAAAAACTAATTGAGTTTGAGTAAGAGAGATTACGCAAGACTAAAAAATATTGTTTTTCTTTTCTTTTTGGGAACATGATTTATTATTATTGAAGTTGAGAATTAAAGCCCGAAAATATGGCAAATATATCTATTAATACAATCGGAGAATTGCTAGGTTTATTAATGCGTAATACTGATTGTATCAATAAATTGGCAGTAGCCAGTAGGAAATTTCTATGTATCAAGGATTCAAGAGATATTTGGCAAATATGCATATTAAAAAGTTTTTTATTTTTATTGAAAACACTAGAAAATCAAGTTGAAAAATCAGAAACCGACGCAAATTAAAAACAAAGTAAAAAACATATCATCAATTAAATAAAACGTAAGTAGAAATGCTTGTAATCATACATTAATTAGCGATACGTTCGAGTTAAGCAACCTTCTCGCTATAGTTGTCACTTGTCAGATGTCATCAAAAAGAATAGCGGATGCCAAATTGTTTAAGAAAAAATGGATGATATAATGATCACAAACCGTGCTACTGAAGATGTACTAATTGGCGGACAACAATCAGTAGTGGACAATTGGACATATTAGAAGATTTATATTAATGTGTCTATACAAATCTCTGACGAAGACGATAATTCTTATGAAAAAGTATAGGTGGCATACTCATAACCGAATATGCTATCTACAATTTTCTGAATAGTAAGTAAACCAACCATGAGAGAAAAGTAACCAAAAATATATATGTCAAGTGATTAAACCAAAAATCATTTACAATTCATACTTTTACTGATGAAAATTCTCAAGTTTAAACTTGGATTATAACACGAAAATATTCCCAAACCAAAAAAAAACAATCAAGTTGCAAGTTTCGGTCAAATATTAGAATTGAATAACAATACAAAATACAATAAAATCCAAAACTCAAAAGTTAATTTATTTTTTGGGTCTTATGTTTAATACATATCTGCTATTTTTTACAAAACTATATGTTGTCAATATCTCTCTTCTATCATCCTTGTCTTTCAGAGAGAGAGTTTTTCTCTTCAATTTTCTGTAAATTCCGATTATAATCGGATCTATCTTCTGGTTTATGGATAATAATTCCGACTTGATCAGATCTATGTTTATCCGAAGCTTTTGAAATCCTTTGATATTTTTGTTGATTCCATTTTTCAAGCTTTCTCACTATTCCTTAGAGAAGTGATGAATTCTATTGAATTAGTGGAATCAAAGTTCTTTATGCTTTTGCAAAGGTTTTCTAGCTTATCGGATCTTTCCGGCTTAGTCCGGACTTCTCTCTTCTGCAGATCTGTTACGCTTTAGCATGAAGCGGCAAGGTACGGATCCTGCGATGATGGTGAAAAGCTTCTTCTCCAAAGTTGGTATTGTCCTCTTATGGCTGGGAGTTATAACTCCCCCAATACCCTAATTGAAGAGCCTTTGTTAAGGCAGAGGGTGAGGTCATGAAGTAGAGATGATCGAAACTTAATTTATGAAGGTGAAGAGATTTCAACCAATCGGGATCATGTTTAATTGATGCAGAATCAGAGTAAAAGTGGTATATCAGTGCGCGAAGAAAACACAACATGATAAGCCCAAATTTGACGGTGAAGATGGTCGTCGGAAGTGATAAACGGCGGCGAATCGGAGACAGCGGTGGAATCCATCGATTGAATTTTCGAGATTCTTTCTCATAAGCCACGTGGTCTTGGTTTTCTTTTCAATCGAACATGTGTTGTTAATCGTGTATATTTAGATGTGTTCGTAATTTTATTGAACCTTCATTTTATAGCCTTTTGGACTTTCGTAATATGACGAGTTGACAAAAAAACTATATATTGTCAATATCTTTTTATATATATAAAAAATATTTAAATATAGGCGTTTGCTTAAAATCGATAAGACCTTCAAACCTTAAAAAAAAAATTTCTAAACTAGCAACCCAACCAAGTGCATGTACATATGTACTGTTAGTTGAGAGAGTACATTCACATCTAAGGATATTGTATTTTATATGTAATAATTAATAATATATACGGTAATCGGTGAGCAGATAAGGATGCTGCATTTTAAACTATATATTAAGATTTTCATTTTGTATTTGCATATGAAAAAAAGTAGGCTGGCTTACCAATACAGACCTCATTACTTTATAATGTTAATTTTCCATTTGAAAATCATTTGGGATAAGATACGCACAAAAGAAAATTCAAATGGGCATTATGCTTTTAGGATGGATAATTTTCTTTATTAATAAATTTGTCAACCATGTTAAGCGTAATCTCTAGAAGTAAAACAGTTGTCAATTACTTCGAATTTTCAATGGAATATTGTGTTTAGTTAACGATATAGGTTATGTATGGTTTCTTCTGAATGGAGTATATATATATTTTGTCCCGTTAAATATAAGAAACTATAAATGCATTCCATCACGAGATTTGTTAGCAACTTAGTATTGTTAATTTTGGAGAAAAAAAATCGTTAATTAACAAATCAGACAGAACCAATAGGAATACTACATTGTACTGAAAAACACTAACATAATATTTGTACTTTTGTCTTGATCACCGAATACTTTTGCTATTAACTACATACTCACTGGCATGTACTTGATCCAATTTCGGGCCTTTTAGTCGTTCTGAGATTGGTCATCGTGTTCCATTTTTATTGGAGTCGCAGAAAAGTAACTTAAGAACACACGGACAAGGACATTTACAGAATCCAATTTTCTTGCTGAAGCTAAAAGTGGTAATTACTGGTCTGCCCACTAAGGAACAACACCAACACATATTTAGCTGTTATGTCCTAATAATAAAATAAAAACAATAACCAAAAAAAGTAAAGAATATAATGTCAGTATATATGGATTTGACCAAATTCTCCAATATCCATTTCATTATTATGTTACACTTTTCTCTTTCTTCTCCGATTCGTCATTCGATGAATCTTCCTTTTTTGTTTTCCGGATAATCTTCTGTAATGTAAAAAATTTATATTAAAGAGACTTTGAAGATTTTTTTGTTTTTGTTTTTTAATATAATCTATAAATACGGGCAACCTAAGACGAACAACTTCTCCTGTTCTCCACTTCCCTTTTTCAATCTTATCCTTATCTTCTTTACTTGTTCTATTTCGCTTCTAATCTAATCGTCCAAAGAAGGCGATAAATTAATCATTAGATCTTCTTGTTTAATTTCTCGAGATCCTCGTCGATAAACAGATTCTCGAAATTCTAGAGTTGTTATTATTCATTAACCAAAGAGAAATGTCAATGGACGGAGTTATGACATGAGAAATCTCAACCAATTCTCTCGATTCCTCGTTTATCATTCCGTATCCGTCGTGATTCTTCACTGGTTTTACGTCTTTTCTTGAACAATTTTTTTTTTTTTTTTTTTAACTTTATCGCAAGTGTTAGGACAAACAAACATGGCAAACGCAGAGAAGACAAGTTCAGGTTCCGACATAGACGAGAAGAAGAGAAAACGCAAGTTGTCAAACCGCGAATCGGCTAGGAGATCGCGTTTAAAGAAACAGAAACTAATGGAAGACACGATCAACGAGATCTCGAGTCTGGAGAGACGAATCAAAGAGAACAGCGAGAGATACAGAGCGGCGAAACAGAGGCTGGACTCGGTCGAGTCGGAGAACGCGGTTCTTAAATCGGAGAAAACGTGGCTTTCGAGCTACGTCAGCGATTTAGAGAATATGATCGCCACGACTTCCTTAACGCTCACGCAGAGTGGCGGCGATGATCAGAACGCAAACGCGGAAATAGCGGCTGGAGATTGTAGGCGTAGACCATGGCAATTGAGTTGTGATTCTCTACAACCAGTTACGTCCTTCAAGACATGAGCTTTGTGTATTACTCCCTCTGTTTCATTATAGTTGGTTTTCTAGATTTTTTTTCTTGTTTCATAATATTTAATTTCCTATATCTAATTAATGCAAATTTCTTCTTTAAGTTGAATGAATCATTAATAGTTTTACAAAACTTGTTACTCTTTTTACTTGTAAGCATTAATTAAAGAGAGGAAATGAAAAGCCTAATAAAAACTAGAAACTACCTTCCATTATAAACCAGTACTCCATTAGTTTTTTGGTTTACCGTATCTTTTCTGTTTCTTCTTAATTTAAAAAAAAAAAAAAAACAAAATGAAGCAAGAAGAAAGCATGGAAAGAAAAATAAAAGAGAAAGATGAAGGTGGCTACTCAAGAGATGTTTACATAATCAAATCATACACCAACCAGGAATTGGATTTAAACAAGCCATGTAATGAAGAAGAAGAGCTTGAACCCAACAAAGAGATTGATGAAACTGTAATGGAGATGTTGAAGATTTACTGCCCAAGTCTTATTAATTTAGTCTAATTTTCTAATTTTCTGTTGGTTTGTTTATCTTTTTTCTTATTGATGAGTTTTTCTTATGAACGTCAGAGAAAACTGAACTGAGAAAGAAGATTATAATTTTTTTTTTTGCAAATGTCGTAAATGAAATGAAAAATCAACCAGCTTAAAAATCAAAAAAACTTAAGTTGCTAAGTAACTTATTACATCTTGTACTAAAATAGGATCACAAGCCATTTGTGAGGGTAGATTACCTTCTCTCTCTAAAGTGGATTTCTTCAAATGTGGGATTTTGTAGTTGTTTGAACCTCGAGCTTTCATAATTTCCTGCATGCACGATTGCAAAGTAAAAAATATCCGATTCACTTGTTTTGATGGGTATTCATCAAAAGATTTTTCCACCGCAAAAACAAGTTCGTCTATCGTCTTCGGGCCCACCTCGTGTTGTAATGTTTGAATGGGATTAAAAAAACCAAGATCCAAAATATTCAAGTCTGGTGAATTTGGTGGTTGACACATCAAACGAATATCAAAACCATGACGAGAAGCAGCTCTTTGGAAATCCTCATCGCTCGGATCGACATGTGTTCTGGCATTATCTTGTTGAATAAAAATTGGTTTTCCAAAATCTTACTTTACCAATCAAAAACTGTTTTATATCTTCTCTTTTGATGGAGGTCATCGCCTTTAACTCCAAAGTCCCCGCATCTCGGTTTCTACTTCGTCTTTGAGCTGGTTGCTGTGTAACAAATGGGAACACTCCTATTTTCCCAGAAAATACCTCATTTCCTTCTTCATCAAATCTTGGACGAGCCATGGCAACTAAAAACATTATCTTTTTAATGAAGTTTTTACTCTGACATGTACGGTACGGTTCTTCTTCAGCAGGAAGCAAGTAATAAGACTCCGATTTTTTCGTCATATAAAACCATTTTTCATCGATATGTACAATATTGTACATATCAATAAACTTCGGGTGATCGGGCATGGTACTTCTGTCAAGCATGGAGACACAAAATTCTAGTCGAGCTCTCATATTGCTTTCCCTCAAAAATGGCTTGATGGCATTTGTATGTCGCTTAATAAGCCCTTCTTGTAGACGTCGAAACAACAATGAATGGCTCACATCCAAAGAAGCTGCCAATGACCGCAAAGTTTTCCGTCGACGTAGTGGAACATCAACAAATCTAGCAATGTCAATTTGTTTCTTTTTTCGACCACAGTTATCCTTTCTCCTATCTGACACGTTAACAACTTCGCCATTAGGAGTATTTTTGGCCCGTCGCCAAATTCGTTGTACCGTTTGTAAAGGTACTGAAAATAAATTAGAAACTTCTGTAGTTGTAGTTTTCTTGATATTTCCGTTGACGCTTCTAGCTAGTAATGCATGATAAATCTTTAGTCTTTCTCCATTTGTCAGCTTCTTGTAATGCGTTGTCGCTTCTTGAGAATTTTGTGATATCTCAATGTTCTCACCTATCACAAATATTAAAATATAAAATAAAAATTCCTACTACAAATTCAAAGAGATAATTACTCCAACAATATAACTAGAGAAAATTAGCACAACAAAATAAATAACAAAATAAAATATGCCGTATTCTTAGTAATGTATGTAAATAAAATGTAAACATATACAAAAGTATATTTCAAGTCATTGGATATATTTCAAATCACTAGAAGTAGAAAAAGAATAACATAAACATTAGAAAATATAATAATCTCTCCTATGAAACAAAAAAATACCTGAATTATCCAATGAAATAAACTCTCTTGATGAACTTTCATTCAAATCAATAAAAAATTCTGTTTCATTACTTTCAGCTGGTAAATTTAGATCAAAGCTATGAAAAGCCATAAATAAGTTTAACTAACTGATGTTAATAATCTAAGTCAATATATATAGAAGAGCAATGGATCATTCTAAACTTTTGTTTTTGAGTAACGTAATGGTTTTGGCTCTAAAATTTTGTTTCAGTTATTTAATTGTTTTGGCTCCACTCTAAAAATTTTGTTTTTGAGTTACTTAATTGTTTTGGCTCCAAGTTTAATTTTTTCACAAAATTTTCGATGGATTGTGATTTCATAATTAAGCAGTGGAATATGAAGAGACAACAAAATAAATCACCAAACATAATATTAATGCACAGTTAGCAAAAGAAAAAGTAATAATAATAAAAGTAATGAAATTAGTTGTAAAAGTAACATATTTAAAGAAAATAAACAGCAAATCATTGAATATTTATAGTTTTCTTAATCTGTGTGCAAATATTCAGAAAATCAACTATAATGAAACAGAGGGAGTATTATTTAGTTTGTACTTTTTGTCCATTTTCTAATTTGTATCTTTTATAGTATTGCATTGTTTTTCTCCCCATACAGACACTGATATTAACTCTTCCTAGAGATACAATTGTTTTTAATTTATGTTAAACATTTCATTTCAATTTAGATGATTTACGAAATCCTACAAGATTATTGCTGAATTTATTCGTGTTTACAAGGTAAATTTGTATGCATAGTGAACTAGGAGACATATTGATAGGATTAGGGACCATGATCTTTTGAATGCCACCCTATGGACTAGGGTTTCTCTTTTTCAATCTAGCTAATTAACTTATAGGATAAATACTCCAGCTTCTCCGTCTCTTTATTTCTCGAATCTTTTATTAATAGAACTCGATGTAACGAGGTCCAAGCACTAGCGTGCACTTGGGGAAACTAGGATATTACAAAATTAAGACATGATAATATATATACAAGCTCTATCATTCCTAAGTCAAGGTGGAGTATGTTTTGAACTGGTGCCACTCGGTTGTATCAACTGAAGAAGGAAGTTATAAGATGATGGAATTTGTTACTTTGTTTATGTTGTAAACTCGGACTAATGAAGCATGTGCTTCAGGGTCGGTGGAATTAAATATTTTTTTTGGGCCAATTTTCCAAAATTGGAGTTAGTCCAAGTAATTTGTGATAGGTGAAAACATGTTTAGTTAAAGGTTTGTCTAGGTTCAACTTTTCCCAAACGCATAGGGCCAATTTTTTTTTTCTTGCTTGTAATTGGAGAAATCTCAGGTACGGCTCTGCTTGTAAAACAAAGTTTTTCTCTCAATTCCTCTGTACAACTGTATAGAGATCACATCTTCTTCAAAGCTCATAGTGAAATATTGAAGTTGGTCTAAGCAAAGGTGTTTAGAAGTTGAGAGAGAGAGAGCAAAAGATTTGATATCCGAGATGAGATCGATTCCTGTAGTGATAGCAAGTGTGTGCTGGTAGTTTGCGGATACAAGATCCTCCACATTCTTGTATTTTTGACATTTCACAATGAAATTTGTTTTTGAGAGGAATGCTTAACTTATTATAATCTCATTTAAACCAAAAGAAAAATGAACCAAACATTGCTGAATCTTGAAGACAAACGAAACAGGCTTTCACCACCACCAGCAAGGTGGTAAGCCATGCTTAACTAGAAGTGCGACATTTTAACGACCATCACGTCTTAAAAGACAAACAACAGTTGTAATTAATAAACAAATGATTTGGTACAAACAAATTTAGCCATTAATCTGTATTAACTATTACTAATCAGACATTACATTAGTTGGTTTTGCAAAGGATAGATGAAAAATCAATTTTGGGTAGAAGTTGTGATCTAACTACCTACCCAATAGGCCACATGACCACTGAGAGCTTTTTGTTTCCCTCCCATTTTGCTATATTAATGGTGTTTCCTCTCTACCAATCCTTTCCCACCACCATTTATTAGAAGTTTCTCTCAACTAATACTGACTCGACTCGCTCGACTCGGGTCGTGACCAGGTTTGTTCTCCTTTCTCCACACCCCTCTCTCCTTTCCTTTGGATCCAACAAATTCGTAAGCTTTTTTAGATCTGTCTTGATTCCGATCCGTGATTTTGTTTACCAAAGTTTCGATATTTACGAGGAGAGTGCGTAAATTTCGAAACTTTTTTTTTTCTGTTTTACAATCCTAGCTAGATTCGTTTAATGTAGTGAACCAGGGTGAGATCTGCGTGTTACTGATTACGAATTGGGAATTCTCGAGGGTGTTCGATCAGTGTAAAGTAGCCATTTTTCGAATCCGAATCTCTGTGGTTTTCTTGTTCGATTCGGGTCCTAAACATTAGAAAGATGGAACAATTTATAGCTGGTGCATTGGTTGTGTCTTTTCGTTTAACCAAACTCTGGATCTGATCATTGTCTCTTTGTTATTTCGTGATTCTCAGTTTGCCTTGTGAGCTCATAGAAAAATGGCAACGGGACAGCTATTTTCTCGGACCACACAAGCTTTATTCTACAATTATAAGCAGCTTCCTGTTCAACGAATGCTCGATTTCGACTTCCTCTGTGGTAAATTGATGAAATTGCAGTGTCTAGTTTCTGTTGGTTGGATCAGCTTGAACGTTAAAGATGTTGAAACCAAAGATGATTTGCTTTTACAGGACGTGAAACGCCTTCTGTCGCTGGAATCATAAACCCAGGCTCTGAAGGGTTTCAGAAGCTCTTCTTCGGGCAGGAGGAAATCGCTATCCCTGTTCATGCTGCGTAAGTTTAGAAGTATCATAGAGAAACTAACTGTGTAAGTGCAAATTTCGTTTTTTTCTATTTATTTATGTTTTAACTTCTTAT